CGCAAGGCGGCAGTATGAGCCGGCCGTGACCGCGAGGCGCAGGCAAGAGCCACCGCCCCCTCTTCCCCTCCCCCGAGTGAGGCGGCGCGGCGGTCCGAGAGGGATGGGGGGCGCCAGCCCAGTCTGAGCCTCGCGGCGGGCGGCTTCGGCTCCCGCCGCGCCGCTGACCCCCAGTGCCCACCCTGGACCCCAGGAGCCTCCGCCCAGCGGGTGCACCGGGACTGGCAAGGAAGGGGCGCTTGCCTTGGTGGGTGGGGCGCGGAGGGTACCTGAGGTCGCCGGCTCGGAGCTAGAGGCAGGGGCGACCGCGGAACTGCAGACCTGCAGGGTCTACTCGACCCTTAACCTCAGCCGGAGAAGTAACTGTAAGTCTCAGTTTCGCCGTATGGGTCTGTTTGAGGCTGTGTCAACCCTTTTTTGAGCTCCGAGTTCTAAGCTGCCTAGTTCACGCCCTCCCTGGTTTCCTACCGCGGTGCCTGTCTCTTCCCCTTGTGGAGCATGTCTGTCCGTCTCCATCCTTGAACAGGCCGTTTGCTCTGTCTGCCCCACGGGCTTTTCTGCCTGAGGATTTGCAAGCCTTTGGGTCTCTGTGGTGCGTACCATCCTCTCCACCCCACCCCCCACCCCCATGCATCTCCTTGTTCCTCTGTCCTCAAAGGATCTGAACCCTCCCTTTTTTCTCTCTCTCTGTACCCCTGAGCTCACAGCCTCCCCCGCCCGCATCTTTTGAGACGTGGAAAGCCACGGGTTCTGCGATCTTCGGAGCTTGAGTCTTTGAGCGGATGGGTGAAAGTGCTTCGCAGGGCTATGGTGGGTGGGGATAGGTGTAGATGGCTCCAGTGAACTCTTATTTTTGCAGCTCTGACACCAAAAACAAAAGAACTGGGCCCTCGCTTGTACCCTTATTTCTCCCTTTCTAACTGTGTATAAGCTGTTTTTTGTTTTTGTTTTTGTTTTTGTACGTTGCTGTTTGACTCTCAGGAAATTGGAAACTAGTGCTATAATAAAGCATCTCCTGAGGAGGTTTTGAGAATTAGTCTCAAGTTATATTCATACGGAATGGCATATTGAACAATTTTGTATTGAAATGAAGACCCATACCAAAAGAGCTTTAATTCTGATCTTTCTAATAGTGTCTTTTGGATACCTTTGGATAATTTTTAGTGTTTTGATTTATACCTCATACTTAATCTACAAAATGTGTGTGTATGATGTGAATATTTTCGTATTGGAAGCTTTTGCTTTGTTAGTGGAGACTTATATAGTGGTTTAAAACAATGTTAACATTAAGGTGGTTTTTAAAGAGTGTGGGATTTTATTTGATAGCATTTTCAATCCTTAATTCCAGGAAAAGCCTTTTTTAACTGATTTGTTATCAACCACTACAGATGTTACACACTTTGGTGCCTTTGACCTTCCTGCTTCTTAGTGGGGTGAAAAAAAACCAACAACCGTGAATACTTTTAATGTGTATTTCCAGATTTCGGACTAGACATTTTTCTTATTAAAAATTGGTTTGCTTCTTAAACTACTACAGAGCTTTCCAGAAATTAGAATAAAAAACATTAATTCTGTCAGTAATTAGACAATAGCTCTTATGTGACTTCATGCACTTGCTACTTTTCCCAGGCATAACAGGAAGCAAATGATAATTTTATTCTTTATATTGCAGTTTCTTTGTTATTCTGTAAACTACTCTGTAATGTAGACTAGTAGCTTTGGTATTTTGTTTTTCTGAAAAATACAGTTATTTTGTTAAGAAAGATAGCTATACAGTATTCAATGACTGCCCCTCCCAGGACCTCCTTTCAGCTGTTGATTTTGGGCTGTTACTTGATTTGTAACTTCACAGACTGTAGTTTGAAGTAGGCTTAGGAGATGTAACTCAGACTGTCCCTGGAAAGGTACTTGGCACAAAAGCCAAGCACTGTGCAGAATTTATTGTATTATTAAAGGTGTTGCTTTTCCTTTCTGTAAAATTGATTAATTTCCAAAGAAGAAGAGTGGGATAACTTGGAGAAGTCTAAAAAATGAGAAGTCCATGAATCCCTTTCTCTCCTTGGGGTAGATTGGGGAAGATCCTACCATATTGTTATATTCCACTTGTTCCCTTGATCACTGCACTGAAAATTTTGAGTTTACCATATGAAAAAGTTTGAAAATGGTACAGTCTATGTCATAAGCAAGGACTCTTTAATAGTTGGCGGCTGAGACATAGGAGTTAAGTTTTGTGAGCCACTTTTTGTACTCTTTTGTCATTACCCGTTTCTGAGAGAGTTTTTTTTTTTTTCTCTTCCTTTTCTGAGATATATACCTACTCTCTTGAAAATGAATTATGTCTATTTCCAATTTTCTTGTAGGGTGAAAAGTTCAGACTAATTTTTAAATATAAGTGGATGGATTAAGTTAATGTCATTCTCCTTGAATAGAAGTTAGGAACGATTCCTCAATACTTTGGATAATTTCCTCCCTTTATACAGACTAAATTTCAAAGTATTTCTTCAAATATTTTATATATTATACATTTACCTAAAAGGATTTGAGAGTTGGGGTCATTACTAAAGTCATCATTAAAAAGACCACATCTGAGAGAAGTTTCTTTGTGTTGTTCTAAAAATGCTGCGGTATTTTAATTTCTTTCTCAAAGTGGCTTGCTTAGGGAATAGTAATTTTTGGACTCATAGTTTATTTTCAGACAATCTCAGACTGCCTCTTTTTCTTTTCCAGATAATTTAATTTCACATGCACTTAATTTCTGTAGAAGTTTATTGAATACTTACCTTGTGGGCCAGGCACTTTGTTAGATTCTGGAACTAGAAGGGTAAATAGAGATTCCTTTTCTCTTTGAATCCACCAGTCTAGATGTTTGACTGTGATTTATTCATCTCCCCTTATGATTTTATCTAACAGATTTTTAAGCCACTTAATCTTATTCCAGAGTTGTTTCACATCCTTTCTGTAAAAATAAACACAATAGGGGCCAGTAGGTGGCATGGTGGTTAAGGTGCTGGACTCCCACATGGCCAACTGCAGTTCAAGTCCCGGATCCAGTAGCTTGAAATTCACGCTGGGCACGAGTGCATGTGCCCAAAGTCCCAAGAGGAGAAGGTAGGGTGAAGAGGTTGGGGCGTGGACCTCCCCGCTAGAGGAGATTTCTCATCACTTTCTATCTCTCTCTGTCTCTCTCTGGCCAGCTCATGTGCCCTATAGCAAAAACCTTAAAAAAAAAAAAAATCCTACTATAAATGCAATTTAGTGAGTGCTTAATTTGTGCCGGTTACCTTGCTAAGTGCTTTATATATTTTTTTCTCAATTAATGTTTAGAACATTACTTACAAGTATTTTATTTCCATTTAAAAAACATACAGATTCTAGTTTATAGTATTGATAAATGATGTTTTACTTGTAATATGTTAGAAAAAATTTGGCTTGTAATTCTTAAGGGAAGAAGCAGTATAGTCGCATCAGTTTTGAATGATCTAATGTCGCTTCAATTAAAAAAATAATTTTGTAAGGTATTAGTATCTTTCATGTTGATAATTATATACTATCAAAATGTAATATTTAGGGGTTTTATTGTTTTATTTAACTTTATTTATTATTATTATTTTCCAGTTTGTTCAGAGAGAGAGAGAGAGAGACAGTGAGACAGTGAGAAAGCAAGCCACTAGATCCAGGACTGCCCATGTGAGAGGCCAGGCTTTTAACCACTATGCCATCTGCCAGCCCCTGTTCAGTTGTTTTTTAAAGCTTTGAAAAGACATAATTCTGAAGTTCATATGGTTAACTATAACTTAGATCCTTAGTTATATATAACTTTTTTTTTTTTCCTCCTGAATTTAACATTGGGACTTTTTTTTCTTGGAGAAGTTTTTGCTATAGGATGCTTGCACTTGCCGGAAAGACAGAGACAGAGAGACAGAAAGTGAGAAATCACTCCCCAGGGGGATGGCCATGCCACAATCCCTTCTCGTCTCAGGATCTTGGGCACTCATGCACACGTGCCCAGCATGAATTTAAGCCACTGAATCCGGGGCTCATACCATGGTTGACTACATGGGAAACCAGTGACATATCCATTATGCAAACTGCTGGTCTGAGCCTTTTTTAAAGAGTTTTTTGCAATATGTACATGCGCTCACTGGAGAGACAAAGAGAACAGAAAGCTTGTCCTCACCCCCCCTCCCCCAGGGGGATGGCCATGCTGCAGTCCCTTCTCCTTTCTTCTCTTGGGATTTTGGGCACACACGCACACATGCCCAATGTGAGTTTTAGGCCACTGGGTCGGGAACTCGAACTGTGGTCAGTGACATGGGAGTGCAATGACATACCCATTACTTCATCTGCTGGTCCCACCAAGAGTCTTTTTAATGTACTAAAAAATGTGTATATTTTCCAGGAAGGGTATAGTATTGAGCCATGTGACATTTATTCAACTCTTTAAAAATCTCAGTTTAACTTATACATTCTTCCATTTTAGGACCATAGGGCAGATAATTAGTTCCTAAGAAAGGTTATCTCTGACAGTTTTCTGTCCTCAGTCTGACATACATTTTAATTTGGCAAACAATGAAAAAAATGCAACCTTTCCTTTTAGTGCAGCAAAATCCTTGATACCCAAGTCACTTTATTTTTCTGAATGAAACAATATTGTGGCTAGAATTCCTGTTCAAGGACATACAGTGACTAAATTGTAAATGTTTTAGATACTGGGACTACAAAGATGAATAAGTCAACTTTCCTTTCCTCATTGAGCTATAAAATGTCCATTTAAATCTATAAAGAGAAAAGAAAGCTTATTTAAAACACTGAGAATGCTCTCAGTTTTCCCAACAGGCATAAAAACATTGTCCTCCTTATCAGTGTATCCCCTTAGAGTATGGTAAAGGAAGATATGTGAGTAAACATATTAAGCCAGGGTTTTCATTCTGTTGACTGGCCTCAGACAGCTGATTCGTATTTACTCTAGCACTGTGTGTTCTATATTGTATCCTTACTTTGGATTAAAGAAATCCTGAAATTAGTTTATGGAAAAGATGCCAAAATAATACAAAGAACTCATTTATCTCCTTCACCGAGAAATCCCCCATCGTTAAAATTCTGCTCCATTTTTTTCATTGTTTGCCTTGTCTCTGTCTCCAAACATACATACATGTATGTATTTACCCATGCATCCATACATACCCATTATTTTTTTTTCTAAACACATTTTAGAGCAAGCTGCAGACATGATGCCCCATTGCCCCTAAGTACCATGATTTCTTATTTCTTAAACAAAACATTCTCTTATACAGGTTTCTTTAAGAAGGTCATGGATGGCCAGCCCTGTAGCTCAGTGATTTAAGGAGCCAGATTCCACATGGGC